CAATCATTTGTTAATTCTTAACTATAGAATAAAATTGACAAATTGACAGATTGTAGTACGGAAGAATTGTCAAATATTCAAAGTTATTCCTCAGTTAAAATTTATCTGAGCATTGAAAAATTGGCCTTTAAAAAGTATGTTTCAATCTTACTTATACATTATTCAATCTGTTATTGTATGCATACATACTTATGACAACAATGCAAATTAACGGGACCTATTTAATGAACCGAAATCGTATCCATAAAGTAATGTCTCTTCAGAACCATTGTAAATGAAAGTGCCGATGCACAATATTCGTCGCCAGGTACTGTACAGCTTACAAAACACAGTTTTATTATAATTCTGTAACTTTTTAGAAGTATTTATCGTTAAACTGAAGTCGCTTAGGCATGTTAGAATTGCGTGAGAAGCTAATTGTAAGGCTTCCGAGTCGGTTCCTGGATTTTGCAGTAGTAACTTAGTATCTAGGTAGTAGTATTAGGTTGTGAGTTGCTTGCTAATCACATGTTTAGGTTTCTTTGAAGTCAACGGTAAAGGTTATAATGTATAATTCGTGAAAGTTAGAATGCAAAGAGCTGAAGATCGAGTTCAGTGGCATGCTATTAGACAGGTCTATTTTTTTGATGACGAGACAAAAGCGGTTTAGCCTTAAAAGGCGTCTAGCTTTTTAGGGAGAAAGACTAGGGATTGTGATTTTTTGTATTTCACTAAAACCACCCGTGTGGCCAGCCTCAACACTTGTTAAGAGTCGCCAAGTCCTCTAATAGACCTGCTCCGAAACCCCCACAAAGCAACGCCTGCTACGGTACATCTCTAGGGCGACATGTGACTGTCTTTCCTGAAGCCACTGGTTGGACACCTAGAGCCTCGCTCTCTGCACCCGTGGTTCCAAAGGGCCGCCTGAAGTTGATGCAGGCGGGATTATGATGTGTTCGGCGTTAAGCTTCGACGTCTTCTATGAGCAGCATTAACCTTCTTGCGATATGAGAGGCCTATGTAGGTACAGCAGTGGACGATAAAGGACTCATAATGGTGTATTAATGTACTGCTTAACTTTAACAAAGGACTTTTTCATCATTATTATCTTTCAATTTACGTATGCCACCTACTTTTTACCAGTGTTCATAAAGGAGTGTTATTTTTTACTCCTCCCCCGGTAATTGTCTCATACTCTTTTCACAGTTACCCGCAACCTACTTCTGACGTTTGTTATTTAATTTCCTTAGCAATTAATTTATTTGTCAAGTTATTCAAACACTGTGTGGGTTGAAAGAGTTTAATTTTCAGTTCTAAGTGAAGAATATTAAGGCTGAATACCCAATTTCCTTCTACATCAAAAACTTATTATAAAATATAATTATAGAAGACTTTTACAGGTTTAATGGTTAATTTCGAAACATTTTTCTTACACAACTGATTGGAGATTTCTTTTGTAACACAGTAAAGGAATTACCACTTAATATAAACAATGTTAAAGTTGAATTTCTAAGAACAACAGCTGTCCTAGTTGGTCGTAATTGGAGTACTTGTAGGAACAATTAGGAAAGGGATAGTATCTACATATTTCTTAGAAAGAAAATTGGATCTTAGATAAACTAATCTAAGATTATACTAGTCAGCCGAGTTGGTACTTAAAACAAGTTTATACGCATTGATGGGTTGTAATTAACTCGTCGAGTACCGGTTTTGTAGACACAATTATAGAACAATAGGTTGCGGTCACCGGTGACCGCTTGGTGTTTGACAGTTTAATAGTGCTAATTTTATACGTGTCTAATTGGTATATTTTAAATTTGATTGACAGGACTGTTAAAAGTTGGTTAAGAAATATTTGAGTAACTTAATGTCTGATAGAGTACCTGCATCCATTGGTTGACGTCTGACGATGTAGTCGTCAGTCGTGGGGAGGCAATAGATGCAGGCGGCGACCTGTCGTTCGGCGTGGAGGATTAAAGGGAAGGCCTTCGACCAGCAGAGGATTACGTTCGGCTGTTGATGATGATGATAATGATGATTCGATGGTTAATTGATGATCAAAAGAAATATTATTAAAAGTTGACATTGACAACATTTTTTTAAAAGAATCAGGCCTGTTTAACCTCTTTTGGAGTAGGTTTGATTTTGTTAGTGTACGAAGAAAACCTAGTTGTATGTTTAATGTAACACATTACTTTCTCTCATAAACTGGGTAAGTATCTCTATGATAAATCTACCATAATATTTCTTATCATATTTATTTTGTAGTATAGATTTTCACAAACGACTTCACACTTATATATTTAGTAAATTAGACGAGATTCTATTGTAATATTAGGACGAAAAGTAGCCTATGTTACTCTGTGAAAAATAGGTAACCTTTCTAAATAGGTAACCTAAATCATTATTTATTTATTTAACCAGTAAATAATAAATACAATGGCTATAGTCTTCACCAATTTGCCGCAAAACTTTTATCCAATAACAGACCGTTTATAAACTTATATCGAGTTACGAACTAATCTCGACCAATTTCCTTTCTGTTTGTGCGACTCACCCTTTTTACCGACTCCAAAAAAGGAGGAGGTTCTATGTTCATATAATTGTTGTTTTTATGCTTAATGTGTCTTCAGATTTTACTCCCGATGGATTTTCTTTAAAAAGTCACTTTCGAGTTGGTCCCATTTTTATCTGGTTAAGATCTGAATTATAGAGACCACTAGTGCGTTAATTAATTTTTGCATTAAATATTTTAAATCATTCAATATAATAATGGATCTGAAAGACAGTCGACGGGACTTCTTGGAGATCTACAGCAGTTACCCTGTAATTGTGCTTGACCCACTAATAGTTTTACAATTAATACTTTACTTTAAAACAGCGCCATCTTTTATTTTTCACCGCAAACGACCCTAATTGGTCTGTTCAATTCGCCTTCGCCTGACAGGAGTCTATTTTGGAAACATTTCCTAATAAATAAACTTTTACGAAATTATTTTTCAATGTTTTCTATCGAAAATTTGACAGTGGAGAATTGATTAGAAAAAGTTGTGTAAATCATTGATTTCATTTTGTTTATTATTCGTTATTTGTTGTGACATAAATCACAACTTGGTTATAGTTACTTCGCTTTGAGACTTCTAGAAAACATAAACAACAAGTTATTTGATTCGTACGGTACCTGGGTATTGTATATTCGGGTTTCTCTTTTTAATTAACGTACCAGAGCAGAGTTAAGTCTAATCTTAAGTTTCATCTCATAGCGAAACGTCACGCATACATAAATATGTCACTTATGTCAACTGTCAGTCATAGTGGCGGGAAAATAAAAAAATCAAATACTTGGAGTAACAATTACATAGTAATAAATAGGTAGGTTTATTTATAAATAAAAATAAGAAATGGCAATAAATAACACTTGAAAAATGCACCCATTGTTACACTTTTATGGTGTCTAATCAAGGATGTTGTTAAATTCGGACAAAGTCTCTTGAAACAACGGCTGTGGCACCTGGCTACTATAGGCTTACACGCAGAATACTCACACATACACACGAAGTACATCTGTCGTGTGACATGGCCCGTCATTACACTTCAATCATTATGGTGTTGCAAGTGGTGCTTCGATCATTTCTAAGTGACATTACGTTCTTGTGGCTAATTGTATACGCAAAAGCCGTGGTCGTGTGATGAACTACTTTTTAAAAAGTAAGTATCATAGGTTATAAGTTTATTAGTATCAGCAGTTACTTCGTGTTTGTCGTCTGATATGGTAAAGTATAATTTTAATTATATTTTATTACGAGTTACATCGAGTGGTTCGTACTTCTAAAACGAAGGTAAGTGAAGGAATCGTTTCTTGCTTTAGGATTAGTGTTTTTATTATTATTATTAATCTTGTGTTTTATCACTATGTATGTGTGTGTAGTGTTTTGTTTGTTGAGTGATCGTGATTGTGTCTGTCGAGCAATTAAAGGATTTTCACAATAAATTCCTGGGGCGTACAAACTATTATTATTAGGTTTATAATTCCGAAACTATTATTAATAATTAATTTATAATAACTATCGTGAGACATAACTAAATTAACTAAAAATCGCGGCTTACTCACGTGAATATACTGAGAATAGCTCTACTAGTTTCGAACCACAGAGGGGTTCTTCCTCATGAGCAGCGTGCGCGTTCGCGGCGATGTCGCGCAGCCTACTTAGTTAATTTAATAATTATTTAATTATATTTAATAAATGAATAATTTAATTATAAGTTAAAAGTGAAGTGTAAATCCTAATTCATCCCTACCTTTTTCGGAGAAAAAATCTACTAATTGTAGAAAAGTTTTAGTTACATATTTAGTGAATGTTATAAGTATACGATCCAAGTTAATAGTATCTACCTACGCATAATAAAAACATAATACCTATGTAAGTATTCAGGTCTGTTCTTTGAACATTATTCTAGAATCTAGATAATAATTTTATGCCTACATTTTGTACTCCACGTGTAACTCTGGTTAATTTTATTTTCAGTTCATAAAAACGATAGGTATATGTACCTACTATGTACCTCGTGTAAGCTATTATAATTTTGTTAGGATTCTGTTATCACAATAGAAAAGTCTTGGAATTGATAAAACGTTACTGTTGTACAATATGAAATGAGTACACCGACAAATCTTTCTTATTTATCATTTTACGTAGGTACTGTGTTTTTCGAGTATCTTTTTCTTAGTATGTTTGTGGCGGCGGTGTAATGAAAATTTTAAATGATTTTTATTAATTTCCGCAAAGGTAAACAGGTGACCTAAAATTAGAACAAACCAATAATAAAATAAATAAATAATAATAAACTATAGGTTTCGTGTTACTACTTGATTTTGCTTTTTAGCACTCGGAAATCGAGCCCTCACCTCCTTACTCATTCACATTTCTTACAACTCGCCAAACGACAAAACACTACGTAACAATGTCGAAAGAAACCTGACTTCCAAGTTCTACCTTCTCATGTCTCCGTATCTTCAACAGATGTGCCGATAACGTGGTTGTCGTCACCGCGCGCGTCCGTGCCGTGCGTGGTGCCGGACGCGGGCCGGATCCCGGCGCGGCGGCCCCCACCCCCCCTCGAGGCTGAAGACAAGCCCCGACCGAAGCCCTACGTCTGGAAGAAGGGCGATGAAGATGTTAAACGGTAAGAAACTATTAATATATTTATGACGAACCTTTTCAGGGAATATTTGAACAGAGTCTAGCAGTAGCGTTCTTTGTAATGTTGGATCCTATTGAACTCGTTTGACAGTCTCCAACATGCCTGTCAAACGAGAAGATTGTTGAAAACCTTTTGTAGAGGAACCACACAGTCCAGAAGCATTTGTCTTATACGGCCGGAGGCTTGAAGTCGTGACGAATTGAAATATTGAAATCATGATAGGCCTCTGATAATCAATGAGTGATGAATGGTGGAAAACATCAACCAGTACTGATCATGATCAGTAGTAATTAATATGGCTGTATTATACCCGAAGGGGTAGGCAGCGGTGCACATTGCGGCACTTAATGCCACTGTACAATGTAACACCCTTTATACTATGTTATGAATCCCGCGTATTAGGGAGTGAGCCCATTGCCATATACCGGGCACAGTTCCATACTCCGTGCTACTACCCAGTAATACTTTACCCGACCCGGAAATCGAACCCTTGCCCGGCAGCCCGACTTTCGGCTACTTGTTGGCAGTCACGCTAAGCTACTTTAAGTTATAAAATGGTTAAGGTGTGGTTACAGCCATTAAATCCCCTTGTATGCCAGTATAGACACAATAGAACATACATCGGTCTACATCTACGTTCCATAGCATGTAAATCACTATCCTTTCACCATTGTGGTCAAAACCTGCTCTTAAAAAGAATTGAGGCTTAAAAACACTTTTTGTTCCAGGGTACTAAGTAATGGTACTCTTGAAGTGTCGAAGAAGAAGGATGGGAGCTCCGAGGGAGTGTACCAGTGCACCGTCAGGCACCATGCTGGCCTGGTGCTCGGGTACCCCGTCCACGTCAAGTTTGCATGTAAGTAACACTTTTATATATATTGTTGTTTGTGTAATAGGGTAACAAAACTGTATTTTATATGTTTTTTTATGGCACAAGCCGGTAAACGAGCAGACGGATCACCTGTTGGTAAGCAATCGGCGTCGCCCATGGACACCTGGAACACCAGAGGCGTTACAAGTGCGTTACCAGCCTTTTGGGGATTAGGAGTTTGAGGATCGTTAGGGATTCAGGGATTGGGGAAGGGGAGGGTAATTGGGCCTCCGGTAACCTCACTCTCAAAACGAAACACAATGCAAGTGTTGCTTCACATCGGTTTTCTGTGAGGCCGTGGTATCACTCCGGTCGAGTCGGCCCATTCGTTCCGAAGCATGGCTCTCCCACTCTTCCCACACTACGTGTCCAATTTTTTACGTGTTAAGTTTTTCTGTGTATATTTATTTGTTAAAACTGACTGTTTCAAAGAAACGATACCCACTATGAGCAAAAGTATTAAATAATTCGAAGTGTGGATTAGTTGGTAAAAAAAGCAAGTAGGTAAGTCTAATTGAAATAATAGTTCTTTTTTTATTTTAACGTATCATCAAGTCTATATGTGGATTTCATAGCCAGCAGTGTGATTATAATCAATTAATAAAAATATGGCAAAATGAATTCAATTAGTTTACCAATTTGACGAGTGTCAAAAACATGTTTTCTGGCGTCTAGTATTTATTTCTAGTCTACCTAAGGCCTATTCTAACAGTCTAGTCTATTACACTCTTTAGTGCCTTATTTACTTAGTAAATAAACGTGAAATTGCTGAAAAAACAAGTCACTGAGGTTTCAGTACCTTTCAGAAGGCTCTCAGTGCTTATTATGTACAAATATTTACTTAGCACACACGGACGGTCAATTGTTTTATTTACTCTGTTATTTATACCTATATAGGCTTTATATACATACTAGATTTTACCTGCGACTTTGCCCGCCTGAAATGTAGGATTGGTTCTCCATTGTAGCATCATTATCATCATCATCGTCAGTGTGACTGTCCCACTGCGAATTCTTCTCATACAGAGAAGGTATGAGCATTAATCGCCTCGCTTGCTCAACGCGGTTTAGCGATTTTATTATGTAATTTTAAGTCACCCTGTAAGCCAGATTTCCTTCGACCTATGTCAGTGGTGTCTAAATAGTTTAACAATAACTCGGAAAAACGTATCAGATTTCAAACTATATTTTACAGAAAGATCGGTTGGAGTGAACAATCTTACTTTCACATTTTAGTACTAGTAGGGATAATCTAGAGGTCTAGAACTTACTCGTGTAGGTATAGGTTTAAGGGCTTTTTGTATGAACGTACGGCGCGTCTCGTTCTGTGCTCGCCTATAAGAGCCATCAGACCACCACGGATAGGACCCAATAGGGCTGATGCAAATACGAAGCCGCGAAAGATTTGACGGGTAGCCGGGGCTCCGGCTCGAAGTGCAGGAGTAGGAAGAGAGTGGTTTTTAGTCAACAAGAGTCTGACACTTCCTCTCTCATAATTGGATAGAGAGAAAAGAGCTTTTCGGTTTTTTCTCCTAAGGGTTGTTAACAAGGGTAACAAGGGTAAACCTTGTTGTTTTTGTTTGTCAGTCTTCCATATTGTACCGTGATTGGTAATGTTATGTTGTGAATGAGTAGAGAAAGAGGGATAGAAAAGTGTATTTAATTACTCAGTTTTTGTCGTTTTGGAGAAATCTCATTGTAATAAGGTGACGCATTTATTGCGTCCTGAATGAATCTGTTGTTACTATCTTTGGGATGTTTCGATTTCTGTCTATCTTCCACATTGTGCTCGCAAGTCGCAGTGGTTTCCACTAAGCCAGCCGACGAACAAAGACAAACATTTCTTGGTTTGCCTAATAGATATAGGTAGAAACTGTTTTACTAACAAATAATTTAGATACAGATTCAGATTAAAATTATAATTTACAAAGTTTGAGAACGCCTATATAAGTATCTATTGTGTTTTTACTGTTAACCGATTCCGACTCAATCTAGCCAAGTTTTTATTTTATCTGATTGATAAAGAACTCATTGTTACTCCAGAAATTAAATTAGAATATTTATTTTTAGCACATTATTAAGTTGCCTTCTGTTTCTTATCGTGATTCTATTGTCAGGATATTATCATTACGTTTTTAATTTCGCAATTATTGGCTTTTCTTTGAAGTCTGTTTTCTGTAATAAATATGGTTATATTATAATTATGGTTATATTTTTATTTATTAAGTTTGCGTTACTAATAGGTCGTAAAATAACACAATGTACTAAACAAAAATTACTTTAATTCTTGGTTTAGGAAGTGGGTAATGTATTTTTGTCTGACTGCCTCGTTGACCGAGTGTTCACAAGTGCGACTGCTGGGCAAGGGGTCTCTAGTTCGATTCTCGGGTCGGGCAAAGTATAGAAAATCTCAGCACGGAATCTGGAACTGTGCCTGGTATATGGCAACAGGCTCACCCCAGATTGCAGTCATAAAATAATTAGTGAAAAAGTAGGTGTTACATTGTACAATGGCATTAAGTGCTGTAATGTGCGCCTCTGCCTACTCCTTCGGGGATAAAAGGTGTGATGTTATGTCATGTTATTATTTATTGATAAGTTTAAGATCCACCTGATGGCTGATGGTGAGCGGTTAGTGTAGTACACTTGCATAACCAGAGGCATCATGAGTGCGTTGCAGCTTTGTACATGATTAATTAGCAATTTACATACAACATTACAGCTGACGTCATCATGTTATGTTTATCTTAACTAATAATATAATAGAATGTGGGAGAGCCATGCTTCAGCACAAAAGGGTCAGCTCAACCGGAGTGATACCACGCTCTCACAGAAAACAGACGTGAAACAACGTTTGCGTTGTGTTTCGTCGTGTGAGTGATGTTACCGGAGGCCCAATTATCTCCCTTCCCCAATCTCCAATCCCTGAATCCCCATCAATCCTCAAATTCCTAATCCGGTAACGCCCTTGTGATTCGGGTGTCCATGGGCGACGCCAATAGCTTACCATCAGGTGATCCGTTTGCTCGTTTACTGACTATATATAGCTATAAAAATATATTACGCTAATGATTGAGTTCCTGCCTCTTTCTTATTCTTCCACTTTAGAACGAGCACCTAGCTTTAATTGAGACTTAAAAAGACGATGGTTACTAAATCTGTTTAAACAACTGAAATCCTGACTCTATTCTGTAACTGAACTATAATAACTTAGTTTTAATATTTACAAATCTCAGTTTCCAAGTCACACAGCTAGCCTTTATTAAGTTATCCACAGCCGAACGGTTTTCGACTTCATGAATAATCTGTCAGGGTTCATTATTGTTTGTAGCCTGTATTTTGACTAGTCGACACTAACTTAGTTATTTATTTAGAGCCAGCAGAGATGCTGGTTGTTTATTTGAAGTGACAGTTCTAGGATTGTTACTTTGGATAGTTTCGAGATATATTTGATGATAATTTCTTGGTAATCATGTTTTAGTGGTTTCCTGAGGATGTAATCTTGTTGGAAAATAGCACGGATTCTGAAATTGGCTTGGTGAATTTATACTAGTAGACTCTTACTCTATTACACACTAGTTTCTTAGCCCGCGACTTCGTACGCGCAATCCCCTCTTTTCCCGTTCCCGGTTCTCCTGGTCTTAAACTACCCCCACACCAATTTTCATCCAAATCGATTTAGCCATTCTTGATTTTTAAATAGTGTAACTAACACGGCCTTGTTTTCTATACATACATCTATATAGATGGGATTTATATTAAACATAACTGATAAAACAGAAGGTGTCACTTGTACTATTTAATCCTTCGGAGAATTAAAAGGCATCGGCTATACATATACTTGACGGTTTCAGAGAATCGAATCTGCTAAATATATTCCCAAAATGAACTTGTAGTGCTTGTGAATAGGACTTGTCCCCATTTTCATGAAACTAGTTACAATACTGTGGAAATCTTCGCGTAATCTGTCTGTCCTGCAAGGTGTTCTAAGTAGCATAATATTCATTATAATGTTATTTCTGCCCGCCCAATACAAATTGTAAATGTGAAATGTTATTTGTAGCTGTGCGTGGAAAATTCATTTTGGATATTTCTTCACAACTCCTCCCTCGTAGGTGGTAGCGTGATAACTATAATAATATGTTGGCTCGGCCTGTAAGTAAGTTTTTTTCAAAATTTTAAGTAAATTCATGTCGTACTTTTTGAGTTTAGCCCGAACATACATACAGACAAACAGACAAAAATTCTAAAAACTATAGTTTTAGCTTCGATATCGATTGGAGATCACGTCCCAATTTCTCTTTTAAAAATATTCAGTGTCTAAAGAAGATGGATCTATGCATGTATCTAACTTTAGTTTAAAAACGAAATAAGACACAAACAAAAGCCAGTGCCAATCTGTTATAGAAATAAAATATATATTTTTTAAAGCCATAAGCCGGTAAACGAGCTGACGGGTCACCTGATGGTAAGCAATCGGCGTCGCCCATGGACACCTGGAAAACCAGAGGCGTTACAAGTGCGTTACCGGCCTTTTGGGGATTAGGAGTTTGAGGATCGTTGGGAATTCAGGGATTGGGGAGATTGGGGAAGGGGAGGGTAATTGGTCCTCCGGTAACCTCACTCACACGACGAAACACAACGCAGGCGTTGCTTCACGTCGGTTTTCTGTGAGGCCGTGGTATCACTCCGGTTGAGCCGGCCCATTCGTGCCGAAGCATGGCTTTCCCACACTTAGCATATTGATGTCCTATGTATGACTGCATATAATATAATATCGTCATTAAACATTTACACAGAAAACGTTGCGTGTAAATAAAACCATTATATAATAATGAATGTATATAATGAATTCACGAAAGTTAGTAAACAATCGTTATTTATATAGACAAAGTAAATAGGTGTGTTTACTTATGATTTTAAATAATTAGAAATGCTCGTTTGAAGGTTATTTTGATGTTGGTCTTGAGGCTTGTTATCTCGAG